AAAATATGTTAACAATTCCAAAAACGCAGGCCCAAAAAAAGAAGAAAAAAAATCTCAGCTCAGACTTGAACTCGGCTCGATCCCGATCGCTCGCTCTCCCTCTCTCTCTCTCTGGGGTCTTTTGCAGCAGTTCTCCTCTCTTTCGTTGGCGCACTCTCTCGAAAGCGCAAGTGAGTTGTACCGTTAGCAGCATTACTTTCGTTCAGCGAGAGCTTCTCTCTCTCTCCCCCTCCTATCTCTCTCTCGCTCTCTCTTGGGGAAAAAAGGCAAAAGCCCTGCGTCATCGACTATGTGGTAATAACTTGCAGTGTGTGTGTGTGTGTGTGAGTATTATGTTATGGAATTTCGCGAGAGTGTGAGTGTTGCAAAAGTGGCCGCAAAAATGAAATTAGCCATTGATATTTGAATACGCGACGAGGTCTAGAGGTTCGTAATCGCAATCACTATAAGCCACTATAATAATAGCCATATAGCCATATAGCCAGCGGTCCCAAATTCCAGCCAAGTCGGTCAAATCAGTTAAGCCAAATGGATTCGCACTCAGACAAGATGGCCAAAATCGCATTTTCGAACATCTTACGCAGGCCCTACGAACTTTGGAGCTATGTTACTGTAATACATTCGTTTTAAGATCAAATTTCTTATGAATAAATATTATTTTAGCTAAGGGTATACAGTGATAGATTCAATAATGGCCAAAACCTAGCCTCGATATTAAGTTCATGTAAATGTATAAAATTGGTAACTTTCAGCACATGAATGAGCCATAAATGATTCACCCAAGCAAAGAGGTGAATAACTTAAGAAACTTTGATACAGATACCTATACAGATACTGATATTTGGCTATATAATAATAAGGTTATCACTCATACGCACTGTTGCCATTAATCAAATGTTTATTTTAATCTAGGTGGCTTAGATTTCAAATAAGCATTTGTTATTTCATAGAACTCTTTTTTATAACCATTAATCAAACGAAATCCATAAGTTAACAAAGATTGTTAAACCAAATTCTTACTGGTATACGTGTCGTATGAGTAATTTTTAAGGACAATTTATATAAGGGAAAACAAATTGTTTTTGTATTACATCAAAATCTGTAATTTTTAAGGGTGAAAATAGTATTTTATTTTTTGGACCACTCTAAAAAAGTTTTCATTTCGCCTTTGGCTTCCACTACCCTTCCCAATTCCAGGTTTCCAGCTAAAAAAGCGGGAATGGAAATGGGAATGAAGGAATGCGAACGAAAATGTCGCAAGAGATGGAATAATTGTTGTTGTTTCACTGGTGACCTGTTTTCCAGCACTCGCACATTCATATTTACCAGAAAGAGAGAGGGAGTGAGAGATAGTTGCACCTGGTGCAGATTCCCCCCCTGACTACAATCCCAAAAAAAAAAGAAGTTGTAAATTACGTCTGTTTGGTTCCCCAACTATATATATTGCCATTGTGCAATATCCCAAACGTCGACGTCGCTCGTGCAATGCTTTTCAATTTTCGATTTTCCACAAAAGCCAAATAAAAAGTTGGGAACAGAGGGAGACGGCACGATGCTGCAGTACATTTACCGTTAGCAAATTGGAAACCAGTTCTGAGAAGAAGATAAAAAAGAAGCAGAAATGCTGCCAAAAATTAAATGTTAAGTGGTAAAGTGAAACAAAATGCATTTTGTGCATTTTCAAAGTAACAAGAAGAAGAAGCCTGCAGAAGATCTTGCAACGGTAAACTGGTTTGCAGGGCAAAAAAAAAAAGAGAAAAAAAAAATGCATCCAGAAGATGAGAGCAAAGAGTAAAAGAGAGCGAGGGATAGGGTCAGACGGGCGGAGGGAGGAGAGTGAGTGAGTGAGAGCGAGACGGAGCGATGGGCATGAATGGAGATGCAAATGAAACCTCAAAATATTTAAGGTTAGCCTTAATAACTCGGATGCACTTGAAAAATAATTGGACTAAAAAATTCAGACAAAAATGTATATTTAAGTAGATAGCTTAGTTAAATCATTTCCAAAGTATTTATATAAAATAAATTTTTACAGCTAAGTAAGCACTAAAAGTAAAAAAAAATTTCATTTAAAATTGTGAATAACTTTTTTTTATTCAGCTTGAAAATATTATTGCAGCTTAGTTTCTTTAGTATAGATTTAATATTTATTTATTTAATTTAAAATATTTTCTGGCAGTGCAAGGGTCTGACCGTCAGTCATTCACGCGGTCGGTTTGGTACACGTAAGGTCTGTCAGCGTATGAAAACCTGTCGCCTCACCTGACCGATTCCCCGCCCAACGGGGTCGAGCTCATATCTTAATGAGAAAAGTGAAAGTGTCAAGAAATGAGCAAAGCGACGGCGGCCAACAGAGGGGTTCCAGTTAACAGTGAATAAATAAAAAGGCTGAAACGCTAAAACGCGACTAAGCCAAGTCGAGAGATATGAAATTCAGTCAGAAATTCAATTCAGAAATTAAATCAAATCCGGCCGGGTTATCAATTAGCTAACCGATAACCGAATTGAACCCAATATTTGGGTCTGGGAATCTTTGGATTTCCGATTTAAAGATCATCTTAAATCGGGTAAATAAGAGATTATCTCTTTGTGAGGTAGTTCAATCCATAATGCATTGGGATTTATAATTTCTGTTGTTATTATCACTCATCCAGTTTCCCCAGTGAAATATTCGATTTGGGTCATGTCTTTGAATGTTTAGCGATTTCTATCGGAAACATCTTAATTAATAAATAATTTATGACCCAATTCATTTGTCAATAAAACCTTGAAAATGGCCAAAACCTGGCAAATACAAATCAAAATTGATTCTTTGTGGACGGGTTTTCGTAAAATCGTTTCAAAAGATTTTTGAGTGATTTCTTCTTGTGATGCACACTCGACAATGGGGTTTTGAGACTTCAGAAATCATTCGACCAAATATTTAGTTGCACAAATTTTCACATTTTTTTTTTGGATCACTTGTGGCGTTTTTTGTTATTTTTTTAATGCCATTGTTGATGCTCTTTGGCGGTTACTGTTGATGTTAATTGTTTGTTGCTGTTTGCACTTGCGTCACGCCTCTGACACTTTGACCATGAACGCATTTCTTGGCAAGGAAAACCCGAGACGCACGGAAGATGGAAGATCGCACGGATGAAATTGAACCGAATGTTGGTCGTAACTTTTTCACTTTTATTTTCCATGCCCTCGTCGACGTCTTTCCCCATCTGCCGTTTTATTTCTTTCTGTCTTTTTTTTTATAATTACTTCATTTGCAATCTCTCGTGTGGCAATAGAAGAAACTACCGTTAATTAAAAACGCAAACGCACAGGCAAATGAGCGCAGGTGAGTGTACACTGAGCGAAATGCCCTTTAAGCGAAATGGCATTTAAAAAAACAGTCGAATGTCCATATCATCTAAAAATAAATTATAGCTTCGTTGTTTTTAATCATATTCTGTTCAAAGCATTTTTTTTCTAAGTTTTCAGAAAATATTTTCTAACAACTATTTAAGCTCCAAAATTAGTGATTTAAATTTTCATGAAAATTAAAAATGAAATTAAGGAAAAATAATGGTATTGTTATTTGTCCAAGTTACGTTTGACCCAAAAATGTGTTATTTTCTCCCTGCGTAGAGAAGAGAGAGGCTCGCTGTTGTAACCGCGGCGCCAAAATATTTTCACTTGACTTTTGCGGCTCTGTTTTTATGGCCCTGCGAAGTTCACCGGGGAACTCAGATCGCAGATCGGTGGGTAAAAAAAATGGGGGCTGTGGATCGTTATGTAATGAGGAGAAAATTGACAATAAGACAAAGCGCAAAATACAAACAAAACCGCGTGAGAGACTGCGACACAAAAACTGCAATGTCACTTACCCATTATTAATTCCCCGGTATTTTCGGGGTGAGGGGGTGTGGTATTTTCAGGGGGTATACGGTGGCCAAGGGGGCGTGGCAGGCCAGCCAGAGACGCCTCACGTCGGCGGACGGACAGATTTACGGACGGACAGCGGACAAAACTGTGCCACGATAATCACACCGAAACCGAAACTGAAAATGAAATCATAACCGAAAATTGAAAAGCGTGCGGAGGCTGCGATGAAATCTCGGATGCATGTACTTTATATGCATTGCTAAGACCTTACATGAATCGCGAAAAACAATTGTAATTATATTTCCCCACAGTTAAAGGAAGGACTGTTTTGAGAAGCTAACTATGTCCATAACTTTCCGGAATATACATTTTTTTTTACCAAATTTCATTTTATCAAGGCCAATAGCTAAAAGACCGACTGTTTTGGGCAGCTAACAGTCTAAGCTAACGATCCCCATCACTTTCTGGGAAATTCATTTTTTGATAAATTTTCGCTTTTTTTTAAGGAGTTTCATCACAATTTTTTGCCAAAAATGAAAAAAATTAAAAATTTCTAGGTTTGAATGCCAATCGATTGGGAATTTAATTACGAGCTCAGCGAGGTATTACATTCCATATTTGGATGAGTATTCCCACTGTTACGGCAAAAAATTTTATATTTTTTAGGGTGAAAAATATGGATTCGATTTTTCAGCGAAAATCTCCATTTTTGTATGGTTTTTTAGTCGTAGCTTGGACAATTCAAGACCTACAACTAAAAGACCGGCTGTTTTGAACAGCTAACGACCTATACTTACGATCCCCATCACTTTCTGGTAAATTTATTTTTTGCCTAAAAATATGCTTCAAAAGTGGAAAAAAAGCAGCCTAAAACTGCACTAAAAAAATAGTAAAAGAGTTAAAAAGTTTAAACATAACCAAATAACAAATTATTTAATTAACATCTTGAACCAAATAATAACTAATATTTATTATAGGCACTTCAAATCCAGTTTAGGTAACTGAATAGATTAAACACTTAAACCACATAGTTGGGTCGAAAAATAAAACATAGGCTAGCAAAAACCTAGTTTTTCCAACTATACTTATCCAGATCCTCGAATACCACTCGCCAGTTAAAGATACAAAAATATCCTCTGTAGCCGTTCGATATGTTTGTGCTGTTTATTTCGACAGATCTATGTAAGTGCCTTCGAGCGTGTATATCTTAGATATATAAATATATATAGTTCGTATCGGTATACTGGTATACAAAAAAGACGCCTAGCAAAACAAAAGTCCATATAAAAGGACGATACACGTTTATAATACACTAAAACAGTTAACATCCTTTTCTTTTCCTTTCTTTTCGATTTGGTAGCACTAGTTTCGTTTTTTGGAAGCCACATCTTAACTGTAACTGGAAAACGTCGAGCCCACCTATCTATATATATATATATGGGATATATATATCGGAATTATCACAAATGCTTATGATCTAGCTAGAGATAGCGAATAGTTGGGCTTGCTTCAAGCGCGCAGGGATCGTGAGATGCGTGTGGTTGCTGCTGGTGCCTTCGACCAGCTCTGCTCCTCGGCGCTGGCAAAGATCAGGTAGATGAAGTTGCCGGCTATATTGAGGCCAGCGGCCAGCCAAAAGACCACATGCCACTGGGTCAGGGTCTCGCGATGATTGATTATCAGCCCGATGACATAGGGCGCCAGGAAGCCGCAGATATTCGCTGCCGAATTGGTAATTCCGTACATGGTGCCCGCATATCTGGGACTCAGGGCGATGTGATTCATCTGGTTGCCGGCATAGACGGCTCCGCCGAAGGAGCCCACGCCGGCCAGCATGAAGGTGACCCACACCCAGTCGCAGCCCACATAGATGATGCCAATCAGGCCCAGCGACGGCACCACCGAGGCCACCGTGTTCCACAGCTTGTAGGAGTTCAGCTGCGAAATGTAGCGCCTGGCCAGCATCCAGTCGGCCAGGGCGGAGCAGGCGATGCCCACGAACCAGGAGGTCAGATAGGGCACGGCGTTCAGCAGGGCATTCGACTGGATGTCGAAGTGCAGGATGTTGCTCATGTAGGTGGGCAGCTCGGTGAGCTGTGTGTAGAAGGCCCAACCCTGGCCGCACTGGGTCAGCAGGATGGCCCACAGCGGCACCGAGCTGAGCAGCGATGTCCAGGGTATGGCCTCCTCCTCCGCCGACGGCGGCCTCCTCAGATTCACCTCATCCTGGTCCTCCTCATCCTCCGGCTCTGCCAGGTCTGCCTGGCTGATCAGCCTCTGGGCGTGCAGACTCCGCTCGATGTACTCTCGCTCCGACAGCGAGATTCTGGGATGATCGCTGGGCCTGTCGTAGACCAGATACATCCAGGCGACGAACCACAGGATGCCCAGCAGCCCGAAGATGTAGAAGGCCGACGGCCAGCCGCCCAGGAAGTCCAGGGAGCAGAGCCAACCGGCCAGGGGCATCGAGATGACAGTGCCTATATTGGAGCCCGCATAGACAATGGCGGCGAACTTGTTCCTCTCCAGCGGCGGTATCCAGTGGGCCAGCATGGCGTGCATGGCCGGATAGGTGACGCCCTCGCCCATTCCCTCGAGGATGCGGACGAGCACGAGCAGCGGCAAATCCCAGTGGGCTGCGAGCGGGGTGATGAGTGTGAATATGGCCGTGATTAGGACACCATAGCCGTAGATCTTCTTGCCGCCATACAACTCGGCCATCCGTCCGCCGGGCACTTGGGTCAGGACATAGCCGTAGAAGAAGCTACCGAGGACCAGGCCCTGCGTCGCCTCGTCCCACACGAACTCGCCCTCCCTCTGCGGACTGGGATCGCTGCCATTGTGAGGGGGCTCGGGACGCGGACAGGTGTCCGTATCGATCACCGACGAGTTGCTGTGCGGAATCGCCGTTTGGTTCACCATGGCCACAATGGCCACCGACAGATTGACCCGCATCGCGTAGACGACGGCGAAGCCCAGGAAGCCCATCAGTCCGAAAATGTGACGCGTCTTGGGTCCGCAGCCGTGGTTCTCTGAAGGGGGGAGGAAAAAAAAAACAAAAAGCTGGATTAGGAGGCGTATCAGTTCCGGTTTTGCTTAAAATATTTCACAGTTCTCTTTGATAGGAGAAAAAAACAACTAAAAATCCCTTAAATACCGCTCAAGATGATATCATAAAACAGTGGAAATTGACTAAATCGAACTAAGAAACCTCTCCAAAATCTTAATTCTATTTATACAAAAATAGCTAGTAAATATGTTTTCCAATTATTTGAAAATTTTTGAAGCCTATAAAAATTTATGATTCTATATGTACCTTTCAAACAATTGTTAGACATCAGTTCTCTTCAAAACACAGATACATTCTAGCTTATAAACTTCCATGCTTTGAGACAAATATTCATTTTAAAATCAGTAAACGTAAACAAAACGTAAAGACATTTTTAAAGAAATTATTCATAGGCAGACACGACTGTATTGGAGAAACGTGCGAAGTTTTGTGAACTGTGATAATACTCAGTGAAGATGAAAACCAGAGCCATATTAGTCACTTGTTTGAATTTGAATTACTCAAGTCATTTCAAAGCTACAATTTAATAATTTAAAAATGTTCAGCTACTGAGTTGTATGCCAAATTATAGCAATTACATTTTTAGGAATATTTAAAGCCTATCACCATAAAATATTTCTCATTTGGGCATATCATTATCTTCCATAGAGAAAACTCATTACAATTAAATACAAGTATTTTAATGCGTTGTTGGTGTCATTTAAAAATTTGCCGATAACTATTGGGAACTTGGGAGCTTTTTAAGAAATAAATATAGTACTATATTAAGTAGAAGTATATTAATAAATAGATTTTAGTATCTTTGTTGAGTACTGTAATATCATAATATCTTAGTGATATTTTTAAATATAAAACAAAACAAAAACGTTTTTATGATAAAGTCAGACGCTTCTAATCGTATTACTACCAACTATTTATGTATGATAATTCCTGAAAACATTCCTTTTAAACTAAGAGCTTTTAGATGTATATATCTTATAAAGTCGGAAATGTCTTATTATAATATCTATTATACCTTCTGAAAGGGTATTAATAATAAATACAAGTTTTGTTCAAAGTTATATAAGTGGAACAGATTATAAAACAATTATGGAAAATAAAAAAAAATGTACTTTAAAGGAAGCATATCTTAAAGTAATAACTGTGAAATACACCCGTATCTGAAAAACCTTGTTAATATTATTAGGCAGTGTATCTTTCGAATCTACTCACCCTCTGCGCCGCCGGAGCGGATTAGCGGTCGTTCGCCGGAGCAAAACGCCTCCCGTTCGTCGTCCGCCTCGTCATCGGAGCGGTCCGCCGAGGCGGCGGAGGAGTTGGAGGAGGCGGACGGCCGGCGGAAGCGGGAGGCGGCCGCATCCTCGTAGTAGCACGAGGCGTCCCGCGACTCGTCCGTCCACTTGTGCGGTGGCATCGTTCCGTTCTATTTGGATGCGTGGATTTTGATTCCGATTTAAATTCCTATTGAAGATCTTGGAGCTTCTTGGAGCGTTTTTTCTGGTCTTTCAAGCGTTTGGAGCTGCAAATGCCAGCGCATTTTCTCTGCCGGAGCGGCAGTTGTAGTTGTAGTTGTGGCGTCAGTGGCGTCGGAAGCGGTTTTCGGTTTTTTCGGGGGGCGAAACGAGTGGGAACGGGAGCGCGAGCGGGTACCTCTCCACGCCAGCGGGAACCAGCGCAGACTGACGGACTGGCAACTGGCAACGGGCAGCCAACAGCGCAACAACAAACCCAAACAAAAGGCAGCGCCAGCAAACGTTGCTTCTAACCACAGGAGGAGCCACAGGGGCGTAGTTGGGGGGCGTGACAAATGCAAAGGGGGGTGCCTATTTTTAACCTTTTCTTTGTAAAGTTATTACTGAAAGTCCTAGCTTTTAAAGTAATAAATGAATAAAATTATGTGGAAAAATATTTATACATTTTTTTGGGGTATTAAACTACTATAATTACTATAATTTGGGATTTAGTTTTCGGCGCCATAAAAAAAATATCTCATTTATATTTAACACGAATTTCTTTCCGATTAAATACATTTCTTTGTCTAACATTAAAATTTGTAGCTTTAATATTTAGTAACCCCTTTAGTGCGCCCCTGAAGTTGGAGTCACCACAGCTGGCGCTCTCTCTAATGCTTGGCTCTCCCTCTAATTGTTTTGTTCTCGCTCTCTCCCGTGTGAAAGTGGAGCAATGAATGGTAGTCGACGTCACAGAAGGGGATGCAAGAACGCGAGAGAGTGAGACGGAGAGGGAGAGAGGCAGAGCCCCAAAGAGAAAGGGGGCGGTGTGCAAAAGAGATAGCTGGAGAAGAGAGCGCAGTGCGATATTTATTGTTGTAAAGTACCTAAAGTACAATATCTTTGTTTAGTTACAGTTATGTAGTTTACTAGCCACACACACCCGCATTCGAATCCACCCACACCTTCAACGGCGATATGGCGTATTTGCTCGCACTGGATTATTTGTAAAGAAATGAAAATAATATAACGCAAAACCAAATTCCAGATAGTCGAAATCAAAAAGGGAACTGGAACATGTACTAAAAACTTGACTACACTTGCAAAAGGTTAGCAACAACAACAGCAACGGCGAAGAGAGAAAGGCAAAATACACACTCAGACAACTCTGGTCAAGACAATAGCCACTTTTAAATATCAAAGCTCTACTTACATTTAAGCTCCGGTTAAACAACAAAAGAAATGAGCAAGTAGCAAAAATTCACACAGGTCTAGAAAATTTTCCACCTTTTTCCTGGGTTTACAGCATGACCGATAAGATAAAGGGCTAAAATGATCGATTGCTTCATTCCAAGAAAAAAAATATATATTAACAGTTATGCTATTATCTACAAAAAAAGGAGATAATAAATGACTTTCATTAAAAATAGATCTTTCTTATAACTGGGGTAATTTTTGGAATTTTTTTAATCAAAATTCTCGATCTAACTAAAAAGTGAATATTTAATGCTATTATCTTGAACCAAAGTGTACATAAGAATGCCCTTTTACTGCTTTCCAGGTGGTTACGTCAACAAGAGTGCCAGGATTTGCAAGGATTTCTATTTTTGGGCCATTTGCATTTGCGCATGTCCCGAAAAAATGCCTGTTGCATCCAGAAAAGCCGTAGGACCTACCCCAAATCTCCCAGATGCAGAACGATTCAAGGGTTTTTCAGTGGACAATTATTGGCAGAGTATAAAAAACAGTTCTGGCTCAAGACCCTTCTACAGTTCAATTGGAATATTACAATATTTTGATTTAGGGAATATTACTTTACATATAGAAATTTGATCGGTATAGTAGTAACTCCAATTGAACTGTGCGAAAAGCCTTTGGATACAAGTAAAATGCTTATGAGAGGTATTTTAAAGTATTGCCTAGCAGAGCACCTGGTCATGTTTCGTTGCTCCATTCTCAGTTGGCGAAGATGGTGCCCACGGGGAAGACGACGATCCTCCGTTTGCCGCTGACCACCAGGGATTCGTAGTGGTAGTTCTTTTCCAGGAGCACATCGTTGCGATTGCCGGCGAAGGAATCCCTGATGGGGCTCAGATCCGGATTGAAGCAGTTGAGGGCCACCACATCGGAAGGCAGACGGGGTATCAGTTCGTAGGCGCAGGCCAGCTTCTCGTTCCACAGGCTGACCTGTCCGTAGGGCAGGGGATCCCTCTTGGCCAACTCGCCGGCCTCCTTGGCGGTGCGGAAGGTGTGCAGGGTGACCACTCCGGTGGCTCCGCTGCCCAGGTAGCTGTGCACGCAATCGTACACCAGGATGGGCGATTCGCCGGCCTTTACCACCTTGGCCTTCAGCTGATCGATCTTGGCCAGCGTGCCGACATAACTGGGATGCTGGGCCACCGCCTGGGGCAGCGAGCGCAGATCCTGGGCCACCAGACCCACAAACTGATCGGCTATGCTCTCCTGGAGCAGCAGGGTGGCCACGGATCCCGCGGCAAACGGATTCTGCAGGGAGGCGAGCAGCTGCTGGCGGGCCGAGTGCAGATCACCGTCCTCGAAGACGATCATCAGCTGGGGGGAACGCCACTGGGGATCACTCGGGATCGCCTCCACCTGTGGGTCAGGAATTTGGTATATCAGCAAGCATTTACAGTTTTTTGATAATGTTTTCTATAAGGTCGAAGATGTTCCCATCTTATAAGGTTATGTCTGATACTGGAATATCAAACTTACCTTATTTTCCGCCTCCTTCGACGAGGACTGCGGCGTGAGGACCATGTCGCTGGTGATCCTGTTCAACTGCTGCGTATTGTTGGTACTGCTGGCCATGCTCTGCTCACGGATTCCTCTGCTCGGATCGAAATGCTGAAACCCACACCCAAAATCGCTCGATCAGCTGCGTTATCAGCGGCTCACGCACACACGCGAAGATCGCTGATAATCGGAAATACCATCTTTTGGTATTTTTGCGGTATTTTCGTATCTCAATCTTGGCCCGTTTGGCAGCACTGCACATTTTTTGAACGAATCACCCTGTGGGCCTGTTTTGCTAGCGTTTTTTGGCGCAAAAGTTAAACTGATTTGAATTAAAAGAAAGATTACAAGACAAATGGATGGCTCATAAGGAATTATTGTTTATTTCAAAACTTTTCATTTTTTCCACGCAAATTTATATATTTTTTTTCTTAAAAGCCTGGTTGGAATTCGTATTGATAAATACAACTTGTATGGAACGGTTTAAAAATTAAAAAGGTAATTATCAGTCTATTATAAACTGATTTTACTGGCACATTTATTTTATGGCCAATCTAAAAACTTATAAATTGATATCAGTAACTTTCCAGCGGATTTAGATATACCAAATTTTTATTCTCAATTTTGACTTTTTTTTCGAAAAATGGTCAAAAGTCCAAAACGTTATGACCATTATTTTGGCCAAACTACTGTTTTTTTTCATGACTGGAAATTTAGGATGACGAGTTTCAAACAAAGCAAAATTTTCTCAAACCGAAAATAGTAAAATTTTAGATTAATTATAAATTATAAATTAATAATTGTTTCACCAATCCACAGCTAGTTTCTCATCTCTGATAGTGCTAGCTGTTTTGGCAGTACAAACGTCAAGAGAAGAAACGTCAAAAACGAAAAGTAAAAAGAAGCGAAAGAAACAAAAACGGTTTCGAGGCAGCAACTTAATCGCTCACGAAATATCGGTTTTTGTTAAATATTTATTTAGTTAGTTGCTGTGAATAGTGTAGATTTGTGCTAAATCGCGTGAGAAATTGCTAAGCGAAAAAGTAAATAACGGTTCGGCCGCGAGTGTAAACAGAAAGTGTTGCCCTCTCGCTCGCACGCACACTCGCATCCAATCCGTCGCAAGAAATTCTTATCACACGGATTCCCCAACCTTGGCTCAATAGTAGAATAATAAATATAGGTTAATAGCCCGAGCTAATCTGTAATCTATACAACAACCGTACACCGAGATGGCAGCGACGCCAGCGCCAGCAGCGACGCCGGCAGCGACGTCGTCGTCAGCGACTGCAACGAAAAGTCCTACAAATCCACTGTCCACCGAGGAGAAGACCCTTCTCCGGGGACTCGACAAACTCCGCAACGAGGACAAGCTCACGGATGTCACCCTGATCGTCGAGGAGCACCGATTCAAGGTAGGATCAGTCTAAGATCACCTCCAGAGACCCTATATAAAAGTTTCATAAGCGATATAATGGTAAAGAAACCCCTCAACCCAAAAATTAATCCAATATAACTTGGCCAAAAGTATTTAGGATAGCCTAAGATCATCTCCAGAGGCCCTATACCAAGTTTCATAAGCCTATCTGCAAGAACAATAGAGTTACGATGGTTATTTTAAACCGATCTGAACTAAATGTAGTCCCAAAACAGCCCATATTGTCATGCAGCCACCGAATTATGTCAGGTTATGGTAACTAATCAATTCATAGATTTGCCATTAAGTTATTCCTCAAAAGCAACTTGGTTACGATTAGGCTAGGTTAGTTACGGCATTACTCTCAATGGCTGGCTGGGCTATAGGATACATGGAAATCGTAATAAACCGGATGGATCGAGTCCTCATTTCGGAAGTTTGGCAATATGGCAAGTTCGTGTTAATTATATACACGCTTATGTATTTAAGAGACCAAAGCGCAAGGTGACTAGTTATAGGGTTAAAGTGGTAGGCGAATCGATAATCGTTGACAGCAAAAAAAGCTCATCTTTACTTTCTCTTGCTAAATAATACGAAGCGAAAGAAACAAATCCATGACAAAAACTAATGTGTTTTTGGCGGTGACGCATTTAACGTATGTATACTGTTGCTATATATAGTCAGGGATTCCCGGAATCGTTTTCAGATTGGATAATGAAATGAAAAGTTTCTGAATTAAATTAGTCATAATTGAAATTTTTGAAAATATTTTATCAAATTCTAAGGTTTAAGCGTACGAGAAGCTTTAAACTACAAATTCCCATGTGTGGGTTTTATCCTTACTGTAAATTTAACATGCAACTTTTTTTTTAAATTACATTAAAATTTAAAATTTTTAAATTAGTCATAATTGTAATTTTTGAAAACATTTTATGAAATTCTAAGGGTTGTTTTCTCGTAGGCTTTAAACTACGAATTCCCATATGTGGGTTTTATCCCTACTTTAAATTTAACATGCATATTTTTTTTAATTTTCCTGACGCAAAACTAATAAGGTTTTCCTAATATTCTTAGGGCCGTTTTCTTGTCCATTTGTTAAAATTAAAGTATGGATATTATCTTGACAACGTATAAGAAACCAGATTTTAAAGTACACTTTAAATTTAACAGCCGGAAGAGAAAAACCCTTAATCTTGCATAAAGCACTTAAGATTTATATCTTAAATAAATTATAAATGTAAAAGAAATATAACAATTATCCTTTTGCAGGCCCACCGCGTTGTCCTGGCGGCCAGCAGCGACTACTTCTGCGCCATGTTCGCCGACTGCGCCATGATCGAGTCGCGCAAGGACGAGATCAACCTGTACGGGATTACGGCGAGGGCGATGGGCTCGATCATCGACTACATATACACCTCGATGCTGGAACTGAACTACGACAATATCGAGGAGATCCTGGCGGCGGCCACGCACGTCCAGGTGCGCGAGGTGATCGAGCGCTGCACGCTCTTCCTGGGCACAAAGATCGAGATGGAGAACTGCCTGGCCATCGCCGGCATGGCCGATATCTATGGCATTATGGACTTGTCCGAGCGGGCACACCGCTATATATGCGCTCACTTCGAGGAGTTCGCCACCACGGCGGACTTCAAGGAAATGAAGGTGGACCAGCTGCGCTTCATCCTGTCCAGCAACTATCCCATCGATGTGGCCGAACAGGAGCTGGTGCGTCTGGTGTGCAGCTACGCGATGGAACAGCAGCTGGAGGAGGCCGCTCTGGGGGATCTGCTGAGGCTGATCAACTGGCCGCACATTAGCTACAAGTCGATGGACGAGCTGAGGCACCTGAACTGCTCGCTGGACGAGGGAAAGCAGCTGCCGCTGCCCACCAGCTACTACAATCGAATAAAGCACGCCTATATGGGGCGACTGATGAACGGAGTGGGGGCGCTGGAGGATCAATCGCTGCCGCAGGGACCGAAGAATATGCGCGGCATGGAGCTGTGCCTGCTGAAGATCGGGGGCTTCGAGTGGAAGGGACTGACCAATGTGATAATGTGCTTCTCGCCGACCAAAATGAATTGGTACGAGTTGACCGCCATACCGCACATCGATCAGTGTGAGTTTTTTAGGGATTAATCTTATCATTATCGTCTTCTCTATCGCTTCCCTTAACAACTAACTTTTCCGTCAATACTAACTGTAGTTCTAACGGCTAACCTTTACGCAGCCTTCATGTTCTATCGCATTTTAGGCAACTTTGGCACCGCCGTCCTGAACAACAAGCTCTTCATCGTGGGCGGCGCCTATGATGTCTGCCTGAAGGAGTACATCCATCCGTTTGGCTTCTGCTACTGCCCGCTGAGGAACACCTGGATGACCATAGCACCCATCCAGCTGGATCGCTGCCGCTTCTCGCTGAACGCCGTGGGCAATCAGCATCTCTATGCGGTGGGCGGCATACTGGACGACGACAACTCCGAGGAGGCGCTGCGCATGATCTCCAATGTGGAGCGCTACGACATCGCCCAGAATGTGTGGACCTATATGCCCAGTCTGCAGGAGAATCGCAGTCAGCATGCCGGCGTCGTTGTGGGCGACAAGCTGTACATCTCGGGTGAGCTGAATGATCTTTAAAGTCTATACATATATTTTAACGAGCTTTTCCATACAACGCAGGTGGCATCCACTTGGCCAACATCCTGGCCAGCATGTGGATGTTCGACACGAAGACGGAGCTCTGGCAGGAGCTGGCCTCGATGCCCACGCCCTGCTGTGACCACGTTCTGGTGGCCGTCGACAATCGCATCTATGCCTGCGGCGGCTGGCACGAGAGCCTGACGGAATCGCGGGTCCTGGTGCAGCACATCTATGCCTATGACATCGAGAGCAATGCGTGGAGCGTGGAGACCCAGATACCGGCACCGAAATTCTACTCCGGCGTGACGGCGATGGGCAGGACCATATTCTTTGTGGGCGGACTGGACTCGACGGAGTCGATTGATCGGGCCAGTGCCGAAACGATGGCCTACGATCTGGACAGCAAGGAGTGGTGGCGCGAAAAGGACTCGTGGGACTCGCCCAACGACGTCTGGGAGTCAACGTGCGCGGCCATCTATGTGCCCATGTTCGATTTCTAATAGTTGCCTTTGGATTTCGGATTGTCTTCCCTCCACATCTCTGCTCCCCATCGAATTTAGCGATTCTCATGATATTTTTTTTTATATTTGTATACATAGTATGTGTAGCTAGCGTAGGACTACATGCGAGATTTTGTGATGACTGCGCACAGTGACATGAAATGTGCCAAGCACGGCAACGAAAAAAAAATGTTTAGACCGTAAAATGCCTTCGTTTCGCTTTCGAAATATTCTGTAGGTAATGTTAAATTATTGCAAAGTAAAATGTAATTAACTTGTATAGACACCGCGTATGCCTTCTCTTCTCTGTTGAATGTTTAATAAATAGTTAGTGTAAAATTATTAGGACCATTTGTACTTAACGTGTATAGACTAAGATAGGAAAGTTCATAAGTTGTTCATAGCCCCAGACTGCCCTTTCTTGTATTTTTTTCCTCGACCTTTCACTTGATTTATAAAACATCTTCATTGTTAGTTTTAATTCCTATTTCTGCAACAAGGAAACTGCCTAATTTATTATTTTAAAAAATAAGAAGGACCTTCTGGGCTTCCAATTGTGTAAAAAGATTTTATTCTCCCGTAATTAAGGTCATTGGCAATAAATAAAAAACTACAAATAATACAAACTAAACATGTTTTTTTTTGGGATGCAAGTTACTTAGTATTAAAAAATAAAAATTGATTAATCAAATTGAAACATTTATGTATTTCCCTGGGGTATTATGCTCCCATTAAATCATAACACTAAGGAGAAGTCTGAGTTTTGTCGTTGCTTCGATGGTTTTTATATTTTTTTGGTCTACTCCTTTTGTCAGCTTCCTCGGACAGAAATATATGTATAAGTTATATGCTAAGTATGTGTGTGTATATAAGCTTTATAGTACAATTAAAACCTAAATTAAGTGTCAGAGAGTGCTTATGGGTGAAAATAGTGGTTGGCTAAATTAAAAGAAACACGGACTAAAAACGCTTAAAATTAAATTTAAAAAAAGACGCTTAAAACGAACAAACTCGTCTGAAATATATATAGAAGTAAACACAGTGTAATGGCTAACGATACAGATAAAGATTACCGATTACGGATTACAGTTTACAGATTACAGTTTACGGATTACAGATTTAAGGTTACAGCACTAGCCTAAAAAACATAGAGAGGCGGCTAAACGACGGCGGAGGAGGAGGAGACTCTACGCATTGGGATGCGGCTGGATGACCACCCAGCCTTCCTCCACGGAATCCGAGCCTCCGGTCACCGAGCCCGGCAGCAGTGCCCCGCCGATCTCCTCCTGCTGGCCGTGCAGATGCGGATGGCTAGGCGGATGCGAATGCGGATGCTGATGTGGGGGATGATGGCCGGCCGAAAGTTGGCGGGAAGCGGGCAGCCTCTCGTACTGCTGCTGCAGATTGTTGTACAGACTCTGCAGGCCCTCCTAAAAATAAGTGAGAAAAATATAAAGTTCAATAGAAATATATTACAAATTATTTAATATTTTAATACCTTGTCCTTGATCTTGCGCAGCAGCTCCTGCTTCTGCTCGCGCTCGTTGCGATCCATCTGGACGATGAGCTTCTCCTTGAAGTCCTGCGCATAGTAGAGGTTCGTATCCACGCTGAGGTACTCCTTGGCCATGTGCCGGTGCTCGCGGTAAATGAGCTGCGATTCGGCATCGTTCGGTATCGGCGGCTCTGGCTGGAGTTCCGGATCGAGGATTTCGGCCAGCGACTGCTCGGTGCCGTCGTTCTCATCCTCGTCGGGATCCACGGCGACGTCCAGCGAGTTGGCGATCTCCTGCTCCTGATCCTGCAGCTGCAGCTCCTCATCCGTCACCTGCCTTCCGTTCACATGGCTCAGCAGTCCGTTCGAGTGGGCGTGGCTACCGCCGTTGTTGTTGCTGTTGTTGTTGGCCAGATCCGTGGTCATGATCACCGGCTTGGTGTCCGTCACCGTGAGTCGCTCGCGGCCATCGCTTTTGGCTGCAAGAATTAAATCGAATATAGTTAATTAAAAAAAAATGAAAAACCTAATATAAAAAAATCAGAGAAATTGCATTAAAACTATAAAACTCTAATAAATTACTTAATTTAGTTCAAACTTTAATGAAATTGGTATCTGCAGAAAAAGGTATTCGTGTTCTTAAAACTAAATACTAAAAAATATTAAAAATTATTAATCGGTTTTACATGGAATTTGAAGAGGTAATAAGAAATGTTTATGACTTTTAAGAAAGTTTCCTTGCCATAAAAAAGAAAACCAATGAAAATTTTCTTTGAGTTCTTAAAACAATATAATATTATAAATTTGTCTTACTTCACCTTTAACCATAAGTTCCAATAATAACATTAAATTTCAGACTTTAAAAAAAATATCCCAAGGCACTTAAAACGGTTTTAGACTTTTATTTATATTAACGCTTTTCAACAAAGAGTTGTTCAGGTTCTGAAATAAATATTTATCGTTTTGGAATTACCAAACACATGGCGAAAGTGAAAGGAATGCCTTGCGCTTTCGCAAGATACAACTAGAAATAAGTTTAGCTATCTGCGATCTAGCAGAACCCAAAAGATCTGGCTTGAAGGACCTACTATATATGATCCAACAACTGTGCAGATCGTTGGTCTGTTTTGTGTTGATCAGAGCGCGTGTATCGCACATCTTGAGATTCCAGTTTCGAAGCACTCGGAAATAGTCCAGGGTTTGGTAAGTTTAACTTTGGATTATCACTCTGGCTATATCATTTTCATACACTTGAAAATCCTTCACATTGTTTTTACCCCCGACACTCGGGCACTTTTCTTTTTTCCGCCTCTGTTTTTCTTGCGATGACGTGTTTTCCGCACACATACGATTCCGAATCAGTTCAGCTTGTTGATTTTCCACCGAACACTTTTGTTTTGCTTTTCCTTTTCAAAACCACAAACAAATTGTGAAAATGTTGTGGAAATTTCACTTGAAAATGGGTGCGTTCGATGCTTTTTTAAGGGCTATTCGGTATTTCCTGGCGGTATTTCACCGGGAGGTTCTTCGAATCGGTCCGAATCTTTCCTATTCCGATCCCGATCCCTAGAATTCCGGAACATCTCGCGTGGCACTCAATATCGCACGGCTCTCGGACGCAGACTGAGGCCAAAGCCGAGACGTCCACGTCCACCGTAAAGCAAACAAACGCGCCAATTCTCGCGCGCCGGGGATTGCCTTCTAAACGCTCCGCAGACGTGGCAAGATCGCTCGGAGATATACCCACACATATGTATGTATGTACTCTCGGGGGCCCCGATGACGCGGCCACAAAATCTGTGGCATCATTCCCCAGCCTCCCAGCTCGGTGGGGTGGAAAACGCCCCACGATCTGTGGGTGGGTTAAGTGGTTCCTTTGTCTGGCGTTGGACGCAGTGAAACAGAGGTTAAAGGCTATCGGTTGGTGGGTCTTGGTGAGTCAACTTCAAATAACAACAAAAGTATACCCATCTATAAACAAGATGAATATATTTCTGAAAAGGCCAACACTCAATAACAAAACGATTTCAGTAATTTCTAAATAAAGATTACCATAAAACAGAGCGAAATGTCCCCCAGTTGATATGGTGAAATATTACAACAATGTAATTTTCTAAATTTACTAAAATAGATCTTCATCTTAAGAAGTAAATAGTTTTTTGTAATCTTAGTTGATCCTTTGAGAAGATTAGGGAAAATCCCGCTGGTCTGACTAAGCGAAAACCCAGAAATATTATTAGCTATTGTGTAAAATGCCATAATTTAGAGGGGACATTTCGTAGAAACCATATATTGGCGAAGATTTACTGAAAGCAGTTCCAGGAAAAATCTAAAAAATATATGGCAATACATTAAACACTTTTCCCAAAACAAAGGTCGTAAATCAAGCAACGAGTCACCCTGTTGTGGGCCATGAAAAGATAACCCTTTCGAGATCGAGATCCCCCGATAAATAGACACAACCACCCACCAAATTCCATGACGAACCAAAAGCCAATGAAGATTCATTCAAATTCGATGCGATTCGAGGCGAACATTGATCGAAATCGATGATTAATGCAGTTGGCATCTGCAATTGGGAAATCTCAGGGGAATACGGCGTTGGGGGAAAGTGGAATAATTTTCCTACACGTAAAAAAAATATAAATATACTTAAGTGCTCTTAAGGAAAAGATATTACATTTTGGTTTACAAATAAAATAATATAATTTTAAAATATTTCAAAAAAATGCAAGTTAATTAAATAAATTTTTTAAAAATACCAATTAAAAGTAAAATTAAATTGTTTTTCTGTGTACAAAAATCTGACGCAGCCGGTGAACTCTGAGAGATCTTTGAGAGCCAAAATGTATCTCGACTTGGCCGCTGATGCATTTACTATTTACACATTGGTTTCTATACTCTATATACTATATACTAGATACACATACTATATAGATTCGATGTTCAGGAGGGGATATATGGCATATGGTCGGTGGATATAGATGGATATGTAAGTCGGAGATCTCCGTCTGTGTCAACCGAGAGCCAAGTGAGATTTGCCCACTCGATTCGACGGCTCCCACCGATTATACAAATCGGTAACATCGCCGCACATACATATATCGGCTATATGCGCCGATCTATATATAAGTTGTACATCGTGTGTCCGTGTGTGTGCGCCATATAGACGAAATCGAAATAAAAGTGAGATTATTGCCGGGTGAGTCATGAGTTTCGCTGGGGCTGATGCTCAAAAGTCCGTGGCGATCGCATCGTCATGTGTGCGTTCCTATTCCTATACTCCCCTATATCCACCCCGATCTCCTCCTCCCTCAGCTGGGATGTTGTTGTTTATGCTCGCCGGGCAGCAGCGACGGAGCATGCCTTCGGCTATAAATCTGTCCCAAAATTGCCAGGCTAACAAATTACAAATTATTTAATTGTGCAGCGAAATTTTGTGCAACTATTTGGGACCGATACCCTGATTTCGCTGATGGGTATATAAGTTTCTAATATAAAATCTTTATTCCAAGGGTTTTTAAAATTGCAATGGGGCGACACATTCTTCATTCAAAGTTATTATAATAATTATCGCAAGCAATATATATATTTTTTAGCAAAAAATCCTAATAACTTAATTTGTTTATTATAATAATAATAATTTTGTAAAAGTGCATATAATATTAGTTTAAGTTTATTTACTTCAATAACGAAAATTTAAAAAAAAGTTATGTTAACAAAATCCTAACATTTTAATTTTATTTTAATATTAATATACATTTAAAAGCCTATGTAATATTTAAAAATTCTGCATTAAAAAAAAAATGTTTAAAAAATCCTCAATAAAATTCCCGATCTATCCCAACTACGTTATATGCCCAAAAGATTTTAAAAGATCGCAAATGGTTCGCCGATCCGAATGAGCGCACTAAATATTTATAATTTATGCAGCCGCACAGCCAGAGACATTGACAATTGAATAATGTTCAAAAGATTCCTTGTGCATTATACACAAACACCGCGGCGGCTAATTAACCAAACATTGAGTGCCGGACAGAGATGGCGAGTGCATTGTTTACACACGGCCAAAATGCGTCACCTGCGGCCAAAAGCCAAATAGCCAACAGCCGAATGGCCGAATAGCCAAAGAGCCTAAGAGGCAAAGAGCCAAATAGCCGAATAGCCAACGGGCCAAAATCCAACAGCTGTCGTGCCACAAGAGTCGACACAATGCGTCAAGCTGCGATGATCAAGTAAGAGTGACCTGCGGAGATCTCTGTAAATGGGTGATTGAGTCGACTATCGGATACCCTAGTAAAAGCTTAAAAAATTAGAACCTTTTGAACCTTTTAAATAGTAGAAATAGTATATTTATAGAACAAGCTATAAAAAATAAAATCAGACATTTATGTATTTAAATAATACATTAAAAAAATCACTGACAATATTCATTCTGTTTTTTAAGTCCCGAAATTATTCGATCATATCTATGTTTAGTTATAAATTAAGCATTATTTAGTAATGTAATCGATAGATAAAGCATTTATATATTTTATTAAATTTTTAATTGCATAGCTATTACCAAAGAATATCTATTTAAGTCCCATTTGTGAAACCAATTAAACGAATCACTTAAGAAGACATCACCTTTAAGGATTCAAATAGATAAACGGACTGAGACATAACATTTTGTTTTCATTAAATGCCATTATATAAAATCGAAAACACGCCATTGTGTCTCTCGATTTGATGCCAAAGTGCGTGTGATTCATGGCAGACGACGGAAAATGGGCGGAAAACAAACGGACAGCAGGTGGGTTTATAGAATCAACAGCAAATTTGGTTTAAAGTGAACTACTCACCGTGCGTGCTGCTGCTGCTGCTCTCGCTGCGACTCAGATCGAAGCCATTCTGGAGGGTATAGAAAATCATAGGAAATCAATAAGTTATTGCAAGTGTATCAGAGGTAAAATTAGAAATACATATAGGATAAATACTTATCATTCTAAGGTTTTATATTTTAGACAATTCTTAACACTTTAAATATAATATGAAAATATGTGTTAGCAATTTTATTTACTTTTCTATTTTGGAATAAAAAATATCAGAGATTTAAATATTTGAAAAAAAGTTTAAAAACCGTATTTCAATTTATATACTGAATTTATATTCGCAATAAATAATTGAAACATTTTTAACAGATTATTCAAGAACAAAATATACTTTAAATAAATAAAATCATAATCTATACCTATTGTAATATTTCTATCAATATTTTTAAAGACCCAACTAGCAAAGCAAAACAATCTCAAGACACGTACCGGCTCCACGTCGACGGTGAGCTGCTCCACGGGCTTGCTGGCCATCAGGATCATGCCGTTCCGGATCGTCTCCAGCCTTTGGGTGGCCTCCGCCGACGAGGTGAGGTTGAAGCTGTCGTTGCGGCTCTCGTTGCTATCCTCCTCGGGAATCGCGTCCCAGCGATTGCTGACCATATGGAATAGCGGATTATTGTCAAGTTGGCCCGAGTTCGTCGGTGTGATGTCCGATGATGTTGATGAGGTATTTTCGGTCATTGAGCTAGTCGTTGTTTCTGTTTCTGTTATTGCTATCGCGTTCACATTGGCGTTGGCCGCCGTTGTCGGTGTTAACTGTGTGGACGAGGGGCTCAGTTCCTCCTCCAGCGAACTGAGGCTATCCGATTGAGCGGCCACCGTGCCGTCGCTCTCTTTGGTGACAATCTGCAAGGAGGATTCAAGGATTTTATAATCAGCAACATTTCAGAGATTTCAAGGTTTGCTTAAATGAATGGGTTCAATGGCAATAAGTCAATATAAATGAAATTAAAAGACATAGTTCATAAAATAGCTAATTAGACAAGAGATTCGATTTTAATTGCGAGTTAAATGTGATAAAAATAATAATAATCCTAAGAATATGTTTCCTATTTCTTGAATAATTCAAAATGAATAAGATAATACTTAAATTAAAATTTTTGTAAACTTCAAAAAAATTCAAAAATATATTCGTTCAAAATTCTATTCTACGTGATCAAAATATTATACAATTTAAAATGGTAAATGAAATAAATTGATATTAATATGGTAAACTGTAAAACGTTCTTTAAAAATATATTCGCTTAAAATTCTATTCTATAAATTAGAGCTAACTTCACCTGTTGATTAACAAACGTGTATTCCAGGGCCTTGTCCGCCCCCGTGTAGTCTTTGACGATCTCGTGCATAACGCCCACAATGTACTGCATCGAGGGGCGATCCTCGGGCACCGTTTTCCAGCAGGCGGTCATCAGGTCCTCGATGCGCTTGGGGCAGGTCGTCAGCAGCGGTGGACGTTCCCCTAAGAGGTTACAAAATCATTAATTTTAAATAATAAAATAATTCTAATAATATCGACGCACCCTTGTAGATCTTCCACTGGATGGTGTAGGCATTGTCGATGCCCTTGAAGGGCTGCTTCCGGGACAGAACCTCCCAGAGGACGATGGCCCAGCTGAAAATGTCGCACTTCTCCGTATACTTGGAGCCCTCGAAGACCTCGGGCGCCATCCAGGCGGCGCTGCCGCGATTGTTCGTCATCATGGTGGACTTATCGGCCACCGTGCCGAAATCGCAGATCTTCAGATTGCGTCCCTTGTTGGTCAGCAGCAGATTCAGCGGCTTCACGTCGCGATGGATCAGCGGCTTCGGCGTCATGGCGTGCAAATAGGCGAGGCCCTAGAGGGGAGAACACAACAGGTTAATCTTTATTCAATTGCCAGATAGAGTGAACGGAAGTTCCCCCAAAAGGGCTTGGCCCTGCGACCCACCTCGGCACACTGGCGCGCCCAACTCATGGCATGGGCCAGGGAGTAGGCCGGCTTCACCTTGCCGTGCAGAAAGTTGTGCAGCGATCCGCCCTCGGCGTACTCCATGATCAGGTAGGTGGCCTGCTGGTACGAGGATATGCCGTGCAGGGCGATGATGTTCACGTGCTTGACGCGCGACAGCTGCTTCACCTCCTTCTCGATGTCCTTCTGCTCGGCGCTGGCGAAGAACTCCTTGACGGCCACCAGCTTGTCGCGCCAGACGGCCTTGCAGACCACGCCGTAGGACCCATGGCCGACTTTCTGCAAGGGAAACAATGAAGGTATTAAATATTCTTATCATATGCCATTAAAAATCTATGGTTATTTCCAAGAATTCTAACTGGTTTTCATTCTGAAATCAGTTATCAAAGTAATGCAAATATAGGGAGATCTGAATCTCAAGTCTGCCAAAGCATTTATCTTTCTAATTTCTAACAATCCTAACTAGAATTTACATCTAACTATTAACCTAATCAAAATAATATATATATATAAATTAAGATTTCAGCAGATGTTTGTCATATTTTTAAAAACAATTATAACATTTCCTGTTGTTCTGGTTCTAAAATAATATGAAAACTTGTGATAATCAAGCGACTAATCAAGCAAATGCCAGTTTTCTGCCTAAAACAGGGCTTTTATCTTAAACTCAGCCTGAATTCGCTGACAAATGGGTTTTTCCCAGTATTTTTTTTAGATTATTATTATAATTAAATTCGAATTAAATTCCCAAAGGCTCCTAAGATAAGGGATACGAATTCTAGAAACTAATCTTCCTGGGACTCCAGTTCTAGAAACTATGATATATGATATAAGATCTCTATAATCTTGGGACCTCTCGCACCTCTCTGAGCGTTAGCTCGCTGAAGTCCACATAGGCTGCCTGCAGTGCGTCCAGCGATGCGGTGGCCATCTCCCTGGGCTGCCGATGATCCTGCCCTGGTTTTCAGAGGAAGGTGCCCTCTTGTTCCGTTTTCTGGGTGAAGGGTTTCTTTCGAAGATACCTCAGCTTCGGGGTTTCTTCCTCCAATTCTTAGTATTAAGATAGCTTCAGACTTTCCTTCTATAATATTGCTTAGTTTTTCAGGCTAGTGGCCAAGATTCCATGGGTTTTCGCTTGGCTTTCGAGGTCCTGAGGTGTTCTTGATCTTCCACCAAGCTACATCAGTTCATGTTCATCTAGGATTCTCTCTTCTCTCCAGGATTTCTTAGTTCTTGGGTTCCCTTGATATTCCCAAGATATCTGGGGTTGTAAAACCAAGACACCTCGGTTTCTAGAAGGCGGATGCTCTGGGGGATCGGGACTCCCAGGAGGAGGAGGAGGAGGTGGACAGCGGGGAAGAGACGAGGGGGCACGAGTTTATATCGACCAGCGGTGAGGGCCCAGTGCGCACATCACATCCTCGCCGGGATTCCTCCGGTTTCCGGATTCCACAATCCTCGAGCGGATCGCTGCTCCTGCCGCATCGGACGTTCACTTGGCGGCTGATCCCCGGATATACGCCGTACTTTTCAAGTACAAACTTGTTGTTTTCAGTAAAACCGATGCGATCTAGTGGGCCAAATGCGAGACTTTTTAGCCCGCGGAAACGGGCCTGTGGGTGGTGCCTGTGGTGGGGGGCAGTTGGTGCTCGGTGCCTGGCGTCTTCAACTTATTTATTTCGCCCCTCTTGGACTGTCATTTTGCCTTTTTCGAAACTAAAAAAAAACAAGTTATTTTTTACTAATAAATTAGTGGTACCGTTGTGCCTCGGCTAACACGGTTGGTATTAAATCGGTATTAAATTGCTACTGAAATACCGAAAAATACTAAACGAGTCTGCCGTGACAGAATGGTAGCACTAATTTTCGCTTGGACTTTGCAGTGTTAATTTAAAACAAATTAATTTAGTAAGAAATTAGGAAAAATAAGTGATACCTAAAAAAATTAAAAAGGAAAATATATATAGGAAAATATGTAATAAGAGCACCTGTAAAATTGTGCCCAATTTGATATGAAACAACGCCCTCTGGTGTATTATTCGGCCATTTGAAGTAGAAAGTTATACATTTACATCCGTTAGATGGCGCCAGCAGGTCCTATTTTGGGCGTTTTTATTTAAATAAATTAAATATTTGCTTAGTTTGGCGACCTTTTCTTCCAGCTAGAAGATAATCGGGCACTTATTGATTAAAAAAATGTATTTAAGAGTTTAACAACTAGCCTTTAGCATGTATAGAGGCTTTTTGAGACGTCCGTTTTTATAAGAATAAAGTTCTGCATTTGCATCCGTTAGATGACGCCAGTAGGTCCTCTTTTGGTTTGGGCATTTTTTGTTTTAAAAATAAAATATTTCCCACCTATCCGGATAAAAAGTGAAAGGATATATGGTATTCTAAAAGTGTGCAACAAACAACTTATTCCTAAAATCCCTAGCATAACAAAGATTTGGATCCACCACTGAAACTTATATTCTTTTTCAAGATTGACAAGATTATTCAAATAATTATATATATTTTTTTCGTATCTCTTCAAAAAACCAACTAGTATATATTTTTCATTAAATATTTTCTTTATTATATTTGTTCATCAATTTTGTAATTCATATCTTATATTTTCTTCTTTTGCTTTTCTTAAATGGCAAGGATATAATGTGTTCCCTGCTAGTGATCTTGGGATCTACAAGTCTAGAATATCGCAAGGTGTTTTTGGGCAATTAAAGTAAAAGGTTGTTGGAGAATTGCGGCCCTTATCGTGGTGCGTGTGAGTGTGTGGGTGAGCCTTTAAGGTCGCTTTTATTTAATTACACACAGACAGGGGGCAACACACACACGCAGGGAAAAGGACATTTGAAGCGTTGTGCATAAATGAAAATGAAATAAATTAAAATAAGTGTCGAAGCAAAAGGCAAAGGCAAAGGCAAAAAGGACCAAAGGACGATGGCTTTTCGAGTGTGTGGGTAGTAATCTTATGCGTCGCATGTGAATGCTTTCCCTGCTTTCCCACACACATACCCACACACATACCCACACACATACCCACACACACACACGTAAATCTCTCTAATGTGCATGCATTTGTAAAGTTCGAGTATCCTTTTTATTTTTTTTTTATATATTTTTTTGTTACACATATGGCTGTACATTTATTTATCTTTTTTCTGGAGCTCTCGAAGAGCGAGGGAAAAGGTCGAGAAGTCCAGTCGAGCAAAGACAAATTCATGTTGCATTCGTAGCTTAAGGATATTATTGTATCCTTTGCATCCTTTGTGCCCTTAGCTCTTTTTTGTTTCACTTTTTGCATACTTTATTTTGATTTTGCCCTTTTTTGTTGTTCTGGTTCTTGTTGTTGTTGTGCCCAGCGCTTTGTTTTAAAGTCCAAAGTGAATTCTTGAAAAAAAAAACAGAATCAAAGAAAGGACAAAGAACGCAACTTAACAGGAAATTCAACAAGAAATGTAAAGTTAAGCTCAAATGTGAGTGGTAGAAAATATCCCTTTTGGAAGTGGTAATGCTCTATTGGTAGATTGAAGTTGTGCGAATTTTTAAACAATATTAAATTTTATTTAGATATTTTTAAATATTAAGTAAAATACAAATATGTTTAAAAATATAAATATGCTGAAAAAGAAATCAATTTAATTTAAATATGGAATTTGATATCTAATTACTCTTTTCTTTATTATTTGTATTACTCTTTTGTATTTTATTTTTAAAGCTGTATAAATCTTTTATTTTTTAGTCAACAGAAAGTGTATGCAAAAGGATCTCTTTCACGCAAAAGGGATATATTTTTTCCATATATGTTTTTATGTATATTATTCCCCATGTATATAAGTACGTATGCATAATGCATGTGGGCTGATGTAAATGCAAAAATAAAACTGCGAATGGCCAACTGCGGCCGACCCGTATCCTTTGTGTCCTTGTGTGTGAGTTTTTAAGTGTAAGTATCCATCAGAAATGTGCGAGTTTTAGATTTATTTGTAGTTGCAAAAAAAGAAAATGGAAAAGGAAAAAGGGACTGGACGGCATTGAAAGGGATATGTATGCCCAGGAAAACTTTATTTTAATTTTAATGTGGGCGCTTGTAATGCAAAGTAGATGCCCAACAAAAGTTTCCTTTTCGGATTGGGGGGCCTTATATCTCGGCTGTACATGCATATAAGGGGGTGGATCTGTAGATGGAGAAGGAGCAGGTGTCCTGTCCGCCGAGCTTCGATTGCCAGGACCCGACTGGCAGGACCTCATCTTAATGGGCTTGCCGCACTTTTACAAATTGGCTCAATTGCAAGTTTATGCGTTGTCCACGATTGGATGCATCCCCATCCCCAATCCCAATCCCAAACTAATGCCGCCATATGTGCCCAGGACTCGTTAACCTTTTCTGATTCGATTTCTCAGTCTGTCTCTGACTTTGGCGATGTTCCGACTTCTGAATTACCAGCAAAAGAAAAGGAAATATACTTCAAGTTTTTTGAAATTTAGTTATATATTTATTATTATAATATTTAATCAAATAAAGAAATATTTAAAAATACTATAAATATTAAATGTAAATAAAAATTTAAGAAAATAATCTTAATGTTTTAAATATGATAAATTTCAGCAACAAATAAGTACAAATAAAAAATTATTAAAATTATTAAAGAAATAATTACTGACGAAAACAAGTAGGTTAAATTATTATTTAAAAGTAAGTTAAGAGTAACTAGCTTTAAATACTAAATAGCTGATTAAAAACGAAACGAAAAATGGTATTTAATATGAAAATATTTCAGGAAATCATAAAACACCAAAAAGGGTGATTTCAATTCGCCAAAACTGCGGTAATGCGAAATCAAGAACGGTTTATTTTGTCTCCATTTCCGTTTCAGCCATTGTTATGGGGTATCATGGCAAAAAATTGTATTACACCTCAATAACAACACCAGAACACGATGGAGGGGGGTCTCTTTTTTGTCTCACCCCTCCCCACCCCCCTACATTTTTTCGCCCACGCCCATGTCTGCTAAGTATGTGTGACAAGTGATGCGTGTTTTGTTGCGGCCACTGTCCGAGTTTCTCCTTAAGTGATGTCCTTTTTTTATGGACTAGACGAGGTCCACGTCCACGTCCCCTGCCCCCGGGCCACTCCCCCAATTCGTTTTTTTTTCAACAACTTTTTTTCATGCTTAATTGAATGGGTCAGTCATGGGCCGTTGTCCGGTTGCCCACACGGTTGCCATAAGCGTTGTCCAACCGGAAATGTTCAATTCAATTTTTTATTGAGCCTGAGCCCCATCGTCATGGCCGTGGCTGCTTCAGCGCTAACCGCTCGGCTATTGTCTAGCTTTTATTTTCGGTTTAAATGGAAAATTAATTCAACATTTTCTTTGACAAAAAACAATATTTATTTTAAATATTTAAATTTTTAATTTTTTTGGAATTCTCTTTGGTGTTTAATGTCTTTAAAATTTTTTTTTGTTTAAAATTATTATACAGATTTTGTAAAAGTGTAAATATCAGTTTACTGTGTTTATTATTTATTATTGAAATGTAAAAAATCTTTCAAGTCGGACCATTCATTAAAAAGTTATGAGCAAAGCAAATAACGGGGCGCAAGCAGTGCAAGCAGTCGATTTACTGCAGGCTTTTTTCTAGCTTAATGGGGATATTTTTTGCCGGCACCACTGGTCCCTTGTCTTTTTCACCCATGTGGTTATTGAATATCGAGCACGTATCGTCCTTTACCCATTCTACCCACTCCGCTTTCGGATTTGCTCCTTTGTTATTCCTTGACGCTTCTGGTCATTATTAAGGTTATCTGTCGCTTATTATTATCCCGATGGTTATTGTCATCCGGCAGCAGACCCACCGACCCTCCGTTTCGGATTCCGATTCCGATACCATATCCATGTCTGTGGCCATTAAAACAAATATGGATCTGGACTTTAACTATGCTTAGCACGCACCAACAGCTTGGCACTTTTTT